TGAGATATCTGTAGGTAGGGGTGTAACTTGGGCTAGGGTGGGTTGGGAACTTTTAAATGGGCCAGAACCCTAACCTGAGCCTAGTGTAGTTGAAAATTTTCAAGTCTTGCAACCTATTGCAGCCCTATCTTCAGGTAGGTGAGATGTCTGAGGTGAGGGCTGGGAGGCTAAGCAACACTCAAGTTGTAGTACCATTTGTATGAAAAGTGAGATGATTATCTGTATGGAATATTCTCATGTAATGCTCCATTCTATCTCCCATTTTTTTATGTTTCATGGTCAACTATCCTTGATAAATGATTGAGTGAGAAAATCCATTATTATGTTTCTTTTCATGTGGTATTACTATGTTCACTAATTTCCTTTTGCTGTGAGGAAAAAATACATGACTTATTAGCTGCATTTCATTTGTTAGCTTCTAACCTAACTATAAAAGTCAACTCAATTTAATTAACTCTTCCCTATCACTTGGGCTACATTTTGAATCCTTAACAGAGTCTCAAGCTAGGGAACTAAAAAAGTCTTTCTCAGAGGATGAAGTTTTGGGGGTAATTGAGGAAATGGAAGGAGATAAGGCCCCCGGGCCCGATGAGTTCACCCTTACCTTTTTTAAAAAGTGCTGGGAAGTGGTGAAAGATGACTTGTTGGAGGTAGTAAAGGAATTTCATGAAAGAGGGGCATTGGAGAGGAGTTTGAACCACACCTTCATCTTGTTAATTCTTAAAAAGGAGGAAGCAGTGAAACTTAATGACTTCAGACCTATCAGTCTTGTCGGAAGTGTATATAAAATTATTGCCAAACCATTGGCAAATAGAATGGCAAAATTGATAAATATGCTGACTTCGGATTCCCAGGGTGCTTTTGTTTGGGGAAGGCTGATTGTAGATGGGGTGCTCATTGCGAATGAGTTAATATACACAAGGAAGCAAAGCGGAAGGGCTGGTCTACTTTGTAAAGTAGATATGGAGAAGACATATGGCCATGTAAACTGGAACTTCTTGGACTACATCTTAAAAAGGATGAACTTCGGGGAGAGATGGAGGAACTGGATAAAAGTTTGTATATCCACTCCATCTTTCTCGGTGTTGGTGAATGGGGTTTCTTGTGGGATATTTCAAAGTTCAAGAGGATTAAGACAGGGAGACCCACTGTTTCCCTTTTCTGTTCATCTGTGTAACTGAGGTCCTTTCCAAAATGGTGGAGAGAGCATGTTCAGGTGGGCTGTTGGAAGGCTTTAAAGAAGGAGGTGCCTAGGTAGAGGTTCCCCTTCTACAATTTGCAGACGACACATTGTTTTTTTTTTTTGTGATGCTTCTTGGGAACAGTTGGAAATGGTAAAAGCAGTTCTGAGATGGTTTGAGGTAATTATTGGACTTCACTTCAACACTTCAAAGACTGAGTTGTTGACTGTTGGGTCAGTGGAAAACTTGGAGGAGTGGGCTGGGAATTGGGGTTGCAAAGTTGGGAAACTTCCAACCAAATATCTGGGTTTGCCACTTGGAGATAACTGCTGATCAAACGGTATATGGAACTCTATTATAGAAAAAGTGGACAAGCAGCTGGCATCCTGGAAGACTAAGTATCTGTCTAAAGGCGGGAAAGTCACTTTGATTAAAAGGGTGCTCTCATCTCTGCCAGTATACTATATGTCGGTGTTCCCAATCCCAGCGAAAACTGCTGCTTTCTTGGAGAAAAAGATGAGGGATTTCCTATGGAGAGGATGGAAGGAGGACAATAAATGCCATCTGATGAAGTGGAAGTCGGTTTGCAGACCCAAAAATCAAGGAGGTCTGGGCATTAGAAATTTAAAGGAAGTCAACACTGCAATGCTAGGAAAATGGCTCTGGAGGTTTAATGATCAGCCAAACAGTTTGTGGAGGAGGCTAATCATAGTGAAGTATGGGCCAGCAGTGAGAGATTGTGAGACTGGTAACTCTAGATCTCATATGGTTGCTCAATCTGGAAGGCAATTCAAAAAATTGAATCACAGTTTGTACAAGGAATAAAATACGGTGTTGGGAATGGTCAAAGAGTTCTATTCTGGAAGGATTTTTGGTGCAAAGATGGCCCTCTCAAGGACAGATATTTTGATCGATCTGTTCGAAATAGCAGTGGACAAGAATGCAACAGTGGCAGATTATTTGGAAATGCAGAATGGAGTCTGTGTGGAATCCTCAATTGCGTAGAAACCTGAATGATTGGGAGGTAAACTCTCTCCTAAGTTTGCTGCAGGCTTTATTCAATGTCAGATTGAATGGAGCTTTGGAGGACAAAAGAAAATGGAGATTTGAAAATTCAGGGATTTTCTGTCAAATCTTTCTATAACAGCCTGACAAGGGAGGACTTTTCTGCTTTCCTGGACAAGAAGATTTGGATAAGGAATGTCCCTTCAAAAGTGTCTTTTTTTGTGTGGTCAGCGATGTTAGACAGAATTCAGACTAGAGAAAACCTACTTAGAAGGGGCATTCAAGTGCAGGATGAAAGGTGTGTCTTCTGCAATAAAAGCACAGAAACCTCTAATTATCTGCTGATCCACTGTGAGCTCACCCACTGGATTTGGGGGAAAATGCTGGAATTGTTCGGGGTAAAGGTGTGTTTTCCTTCTGATGTGAAGAGGTTTTTTGCTTGCTTGGTGGCTAAAGGGTCTAATTGAGGCTGGAAGAGTTGCTTGGAACACTGTTCCTGCATCTGTATTCTGGGCAGTTTGGCCTGAAAGGAATCAGAGAATCTTCGAAGGGTGTCACATCTCAAAGGAGGAAGTTCTTAAAAATATTATGGGTATGCTGTATTCGTGGTTGGCTAACCACTCATTTTTTTTTTTTTTTTAAAGCTAGACACAGTTTCTTTTTTTGACATTGAGTTTATTTTTGGATAGTTTTATCTGTAAATGCCTGAAGGCTTAGTAGTTGTGTTTTGAGTTTTTGGGATTTCTTTAAGTTCAGTTTCTCATTGTACAGGGAATTGGAGCTGATTGTATATCTTCTTTCTTTTTGCGGTTTTGCGGTTTAATACAATACCTTACCTTTTACAATAATGCTGCTCCACTTATCTAGGGCCATTGTTTTGTTAAATGGAAGGACATCAAGTCCTACCGCCTCAACCACATCCTTTTTTGTCCCCTTGGAGATCTGGCTTGCACTAAATGTCTAAATCACATTTTACTGGCACTCTAATTGGTCTTTGATGCACATGACCAAACCATTTCTGTTGACCTTCGCTCATTTTTTCAACTACAGGGCTACCCTAGGTTCCAACAACAACATTAGTTTCTAATTTTATCCTGCTTAGATATGCTACTTAATGTCCATTTGGGAGGGCTTTCAGGTAGCAACTTCTGGCTTTATGAGGTGGGCCCCACCTGGACAGTGCATAAGCTAAGTTTGATGAAAACCCTGGAAAGCCCACAATAGTTGTCTTTCAGCCAGAAATAGGGCTTTCCACTGAAGCTTCTTTTAGTGGCTTCTTCAAAGCAGCTCAATCAAAGCTTCAGCCCTCCCAAACGTGCCCTTACCATCTGAACAAACTATGGAAACTAATTGATTGTCTAATTGGATTTTGAAGTTATCTACATTGGTTGCAAGACCAGAGACTATAAACTTAATTCTTTTCTTTAACAATATATCCATATTCCAAGTTATTTGCCTCACTTACATTAGCTTCCCTGTAACCAAGAGCAGACCTCGACTAATTTAAATAAAGTACAGCTTGAGGTACTCTATAAGCTGATGCCAACTGCTTAATATTCTTCATTGGTTCCCTGAAAGAATGTTAGTGTACTTCCATTAGCACTAAGCTGATCTTCATTATGCTTTTTCATGTAAACATTGAGCCTTTTGGGTCCTGAACTGTCACTATCATTTTGATCATTGATTCTGTCATCTCCATCATCTGATTCTTGTCACTTAACAATTTGGGTTTGGCTGAAGTTTCTTGTTCCACAATTCTAGTCTATGTCCACAAGTCTTCACGAGAATGTATATATCTGTTGGAGCTTATCTATACTGTCTAATTAAGACAGCTCACCTTCCTATTTCCTATTGGTGTCAATGTGATTATTAAGGTCAAACACCTTTTCTGGGTTGTAAAACCCTTTATGTAATTTGAAGATACAGAGAGAGTTCTTCTTTTAGGTCTGATTTCTGGGTTACTTTGGATGTTGTAACTGAAGATGTTTAAAAGGATTTTCTTCTTTCCTCTTTTTGTCATCTCCTCTCTCTCTCTCTCTCTCTCTCTCTCTCTCTCCTTTTCTGTTGTCTTCATCTTTGTAATCAGGTTGGAGCTTTATCCCATCATTATATTTTGTTCTCCATTAATGAATTTCTCTTTTATGGTTTAGAACTGAAGCCTTCCAAATGTGCTAGGATGTCTCTCCATGGTGAATTTTCTCTGTGCCATGACACAGCACACTTCAGCATAGGCAGGCTTCTCAGACAACCTAAATTTCATCTAGTCTCAAATAATTGCTGTTCCTAGTAACTTAAGCTTTGTTTGTTCAATAGACTTTTAAGAGTAAACAACAGATTGGGCATTTCATATTTGCCAATCAGATGCTATCACCACTAATTCTCTTGCTGCAAGTCGCCCTGTTTCTCATTGTTGGTTTAAAACAATGCACCTGTCAGAAGTTGTTCCTTTTTCTTTGCTCCTGTTGATAAATCTGTGGAATTATGTGCCCATGGGCTTCAGCTTAAGTAGGAGGAAATATGAGTATCTCTAGTTCTCTGCTTGTAGGTATTGGGGCTTCAGTGGTGATAGGGATTTTCCCATGAATATGTGTTTTGAATAGTGGTAATAAATTTATAATGGCATAATGGCTGTTTCATTTGCCACCCATGTTTACAGTTCCACTTTAAGGTTCTCCCAGAAGTATTTTATTCTGACCCATGAGCTTGTGTCATTTTTTTTCGCATGCATGCAATGTATTATCAACCATTTATCACGTAAACCTTCCACTATTATTGCCTGAACCAAAATTCTATTGCACAATCAATGCATCCCAGGTAATGGACCTTGCCCTTGTACAAGAATCATTTGAAGCTAATGTTCGTGACTACACCAAGATAATTGATGGGTATGGGAAACAAAATCGGTTGCATGATGCTGAAAGTGTCTTCCAAACCATGAAGAACAGAGGCTTTACCTGTGATCAGGTAATCTTAACCGCTATGATTCAGATGTACAGCAAGGCTGGTTGTCTTAGGCTGGCTGAGGCAACATTTGAGGAGATCAAGTTACTGGGCTTGCCATTAGATAAAAGAGCATATGGCTCAATGATCATGGGCTATGTCAGAGCCGGAAGGCCCAACCATGGAGAATGTTTGCTTAGAGAAATGGAAGCTCAAAAAATCTATGCAGGAAGGGAAGTTTACAAGGCATTGTTAAGGGCTTACTCCACAATTGGTGATACCAAAGGGGCTCAAAGGGTGTTTGATGCTATACAGTTTGCTGGAATCGCCCCTGATATCAAGTTGTGTGCACTTCTCATCAATGCATATGCAGTGGCAGGGCAGAGTGATGATGCACGCAGTGTGTTTGAAAATCTGAGGAATGCTGGGCTTGAACCTAGTGACAAATGTGTGGCTCTGATGTTGGCCGCTTATGAAAAGGAGAATAAGCTTAAGAAGGCGTTAGACCTCCTTATTGACCTGGAGAAAGAGGGTATTATGGTTGGCAAAGAGGCATCTGAGATACTGGTTGGATGGTTTCGCAGGCTAGGGGTAGTTGGTGAGGTAGAGCTTGTATTGAGAGAGTATTCTGCAGAGGAAGTTAAATGCGAAATACCTGCTCTCTAGTTTGATTAGGATCTTGGCCAGATCCCTTTTGTCAGTGTGAACATACAATCCAATGATGATATAACGCTTCATACTAAGTGAAGTTCATTTGTGGAAAACCATGGCTTTGACTGGTCATCTATTAGAGCTCTGTTATGTACAAATCTACTTGGTTGGAATGGTTGAACTCGACCTTTTCTCTGGAGTTTTAATGGGTTGGGTGATGATTTAAATCTCCGCATCTGCATATTTTTCCCTATGCATAGAATTCGTAACTTCTAAGCCTCTTGAATTTGTATGATCTGAGACTGTGCGTTTACACTCCTTGATACCGAATTTCTTTTTATTTTTTATTTTTTATTTTTTTATTTTTTATGGATAGAGGCAAAATACCTGTGCTTGCTTAATTAGTGGAACTTTTATACGAAAGGCATGGGTATGAAGTTGCTTCATTGATAAAAATTTCAAGCTGTTTCAATTTTCTAAATTGTCCAATAAATTGCATTAGTGGAATAAGCTTCCAAAGTATGTTATATTCACAAATTTACAACTTTCTATGCAGATAGACCATGTTTCTTGAGATAAGGTAACATTATGGACCCTCACTTCAAAGTTCAAACTGTTAATATTTCTATGTGATCCAGCAAAGGAACTTGGGCTAGGTGGGTCATTTGGGTAGGGCCTAACCTAGAAAATAGAAATATGTCAAATCAGTTTTTCTTCAAAAGAAAAAAAAAAGAAATATGTCAAATCTGATGGCCCAATGTCCAATCAGCATGCGCATTGTCTCGCCATTTGGAGTGCGACAATATCGTCATTGTGCTCATGAAACTATTTCAACACATTATTATCATCATCATCAACACCATTCCGACCACAGTATTCAGAACTATATCTTCAGGTAAAAAATAAAACTGACCGAACCAAATCTGCTGTGTCTTGGGCCACATCTTTATTTATTTATTTATTCATATTTTGTGGTCTGAGCCATACCTTTCATTGAAGGATAAGGACGTACTATTCAAAGTGAACTGTATTCTTTTGTGTGGTTTCAAGGAAATTGGGCTCTACAAATGGTCTGAATCAGCATCATTTTTTAATAAAAACTCTAAGTCACGTTCTTGGTTGTATTGAGTTCTTTTAAAAGTAAAACCAGAAATGCTTTCTTCAATTTTTTGTTTCAGAAGCTTAATCTCCTTTAGTGATTTGAGATTATGATAAAAACACAAAATATTATACTTTGGGCCTAAAGTCCATTTAAATGTGAATTGGTATGGTCCATATTATGAAATTTAAAGCAGTAGCATTTGCAAGAGGGTATGTGGGAGGGCTTCAAGAAAGGGTGTATACGAAATTTTGATTTATGTGCCACAGGCCGAATAGTAACTGATATCAGCCTTATGGAAATGAAAATACTTTTTTTTTTCTGTTTCTGAAAGCATCTTTTGGGTTGCTGGCCAATACTAAGTGCTTTTCTGTTTTTCAAAAAACAAAAACATTGACACTGAGGGACACCCCATCTGTTGGGTTGTATAGAAACAAGATTATTTCCCTAAACAGATTGAGAAGATACACAATTACACATCCAATAAGAAAACAACAAAAACAAAAAAACATTCATGTTGGAAGGAAAAACACCCCCTAAATCCCTAACCCTAAAGTTTACAGAGTCCCAGCTTTGGTAGTTCTGAACAATGATAGCCACACGGATTGGGTCAAAACGTGTATAGCATAAAGCAGTTTGGAAACACCGTGGTTCATGTGGGATCCAATGTTCATTCCGAATCACAGTTAAAAGCACACTGGGCCCCAGATGTACCAGGCCCAGGGTTCTGACCCAACCCATACGATCAGCATTCGTCCTTTGGTTTTGGTAGCATAAAACAAGAAAAAGAAGTAGGGCTGCAGTCTGCAGACACCAAAAACAAAGCTAACAAGCTCCTGCAAAATTGTCTCAGCTCCAAAAATAAACATTTCTAAGGCTTTGTGCAACATTTGCAATATACACAGCAGCCTTACTGCCCTCCCTGAGTTTGAGAGTACGAATTACTTACTTTAATTATGCAATTGCCAGCCCTTTGCTGCTTCAATATATCGATCAAAGTACACAAGGCCTATGGCATTTCCATTGTTCCTTTAATTGATCGAGACGACCTTCCAAGAAATAAAGGCCTAGTTCTTCTCAAAACAATACTCATTCCACCTTTTCTAGGGCCTGTTGTCTCATGTTAGGCTGTATTTTGGAATCTTTAGATCAAGAATTTAAGGGGACAAAATGGAAACGGAAATCCATCAGATTCTGCCCAGTACAGGGATTATTTCAAATTTCAAAATGATTACCCCCTAACATCCATAAAAAGTTAAAGGGCCCGTTTGATTTGTGGAATCATTCTAACTGTTTGGTTAGACGGATTCGAAATCCCATTTCTATTCCTGGTGGAATGGCATTCCCCCATACGAGGGACCCCTCTCTTGAGAATAAAATCCTATTCCAGCTGATTCAAATTTTTATTTCAATTCATTTCGGAACCAAACAGACTATGAGAATAGACATTCCAATTCAATTCCGAAGAACTTTGATTCTGATTCCGAACCAAAGGGATAAGTATGGGTTCTTGGAGTCAGCCTAGGACAGGATTCCAAAATAATTAACAAAGATAAGGATTTCAAATCTGCTTAAATTGGGGGAATCCACCCATTATTCCAAATTCAGCACTGGCTATTCGTTGAGTACAAGTAATAACTTGAGAACTCTTGTTGTTCATCCATATGATATGAGCGTGTATATGTCATTGAAAGCATCTTCCTTGACATCAGAGATTCAGAATTTTAATTGGTTCTGAGGTCTATTGTGCTCACAACAAACAAGAAGGATTGAGGGTGTAAAAGGCTGAGCCTACTTAATAATAATTGTAAACTAGAATTCTACATTTCATCTACTCCAAAAAAAGATCAAATATTAAATTTAAACAAGCTTGCCTGTTGGGATGAGAACAAAAACTCCCCCAAAACCAGATGGCAGGTAATTAGATATTCCCACATGCCAGATTTTTATCAGTTTAGTCCTCGACGACAAGTTCCGGTCAATCGGGTCAGTCAGTCTGATCAGTTATGGAGGGATGTTGTTGTTGTGGGTGGTGGTTGTGGAGGTGATTGTTCAGCGGATGCTGACCCCACCAGCGACCTGTGTCTCTGTAGGAGCTCCCGTGCCAATGCCTGAAGATCACCACCTCCTCCTGTGGAAGGAGGACTCTCGGCAGGGTTTCTCCCGCTTGCTCCGAATTGGCGGATATCCATTTGCTGTTGCTGCAACACCCATTGCGCAGGTTGCACCCCGGGATCAAAAAGTGTCGACAGATCGAAGGTGGCGGGCACGGTGGAGGCTGACGGAAGGTCTGATATTGAGAGCAGCGGTGGCGTCAGCAGTGCCGGAGGCGGCTGAGGCGGCGATGGAGATGGAAGCTCCAATGCTGCCAGATGAGCTTGCAAGTAGGATAACTCCGCTTGTAAATTAACCACCTACAGTCACGAAATCCACGTATTACGTTGATTACAATAACCGACGATGAATGATTACTGGTTAAGTTTTTAATCTTCTGATTCTGATCAATCCATGGCCCACGTCATTATACGTGTAAAATTCTCCTTTAGACAAAGTAACTATATAGATCAATCATCAGAAGTCGATCCATGAACAAAAACCAATTGATCCTACTCGAACCCATCGGAAGATTGAAGCTATTGTAGAGTGATGCTAAATTGAAAAGTTGGTGTGTGTTAATACTGCAAACCACAACTGAGTTCTCTACTCTCTAGAGAGAGAAAAGAAGAAAAAAAACTGTCATTTCTCCGTGTTTTCTTCCCAGAAAGAGAGAAAAGATCCTTAACAGTTTCTCAGAAAACGACTGCACTAAACAAAACCCTAATTCCGAGAAACGAGACCAACCGCCTTCTTGAATTCTTCTCCTTGGAGCACTGAAAAGAGAGAGAATTATTATACAGAAAGGGCGCGACCGCGCAAGCTGCGCATTACAGTCATGAACACCGGAATTTTTAATGTAAAGAAAGACGGCTCAAGCCAGCAAGAACCCCTGGCTGCATTAAAACAGAGTCGTACCTGCTGTTGAAGAGCGAAGATGTGAGCGACACAGCCATAGACGGGATCACGAAGCCGAGATTGAGCTTCATAGCAGATGGTGACGACCGCATCCAGTCGCTTATGAACCGGTATGTGCAGAAGAAGCTTGGATACGTTGCTTGCACCGAACACCTTGTGCACCGCTGCGAAGTGGGCTGCTCCCTGTTCTGAGTCAAAGTATGGCGCAAAGATGCATCCACTGACGCACTTACGCCTTAAGAACTTGCATGCACCACAAGGTCCTCCTCCTCCACCACCACCACCACCTCCTCCAACCGCACCACCACCAACTCCGCCGCCACTGGTGCTAGTCGTGCTGTTTGTACTCATCTTCTTGTGGGGGCTTCTTTGTTTTTGTCTCTTTTACCGCATCGCCGATCGAACTGAACAACAGAGGTAGCTAACTATGATGAAGAAGAGAAATCCGAACTCAAGAGTTCAACTTCTGTAATCTGGTTTTCTTCGGTAGGTCCCTGCAGGCTTTGTTTTGTAATTTTCTTCCCTGGTTTTATCTTCTAAATTCTAATCGAAATCTTTAAAGCCACGCGACGCAGCCAACCTTTTTAGCTGCTTGCGTGAAGCAATCATGCCATCAGCCTAGCGACTCCCAAGTCCTAACTGCTTCTCGTCCTTCCTCTCGTGAATCTAGCAACCCCTTCTCTCTCTCTCTCGTCTCTCTACGCATCCGAGTAGCTTTCTGGGCTATCTTTTGATTCTGTAATTGCAACAAAAGCATGAATTTTATAACTCGAGATGTGTCGATGGTCTGTCTATATTTGCCTGCGTGTTTTAAGCTGCGTGGAGGGCAAAAGACGCCAATCCTTCTTTCTCATCACTCTTTGCTTTCTCGTTTTTTTTTTTTTTTTCTTCTTCCTTTGAAAATGACCCTCTTTCCCACATTAATATTTAGATCAGCCGTGCAAATTTGCTTCCTTCTATGAGTCGGAGAATGCAAATTTGATACCGTATTTACTCTAGAGATTTTCAAAGGGATAGATGAGTAAATACGAAGAGGATAGGAGGACGTCTTTGTCATTGAGTCTAGACTCCATAATGGGGAGCCAATCGAAGTCAGGGCCAGTTCGGCGTTCAAAGCACGGGTGGAGCCCACTCTCGTGTACTTGGACGAGTAAAACATAGCCACGTGTGAGTCGGTGCAGAGGAACGTAACGGCCGGTATAAGATGATCTCATGGAGGGGAGTGGGGCCCACGCGCTTATGGTTTTTTGACGAAAAGGGGAACGTTTTTTCGCTTTTCTGTTCCCGATTCCGGTTTTAATAATTTAAAATGAAGGAAATCATGAACAGTTCGTAACGGCGCATCGCCGCGCCGTCCGGCTCTTGTCCAATCCCTGTGCTGTGATGAGGAAACAAGACAAAAAGCCCACTTCTTACTTCTGCTCCTCCTGGACACGTGCCTTGACGGGATAGTTTACGTACCTTCATTCCCACACAATTCAGTCCCCCGGTACACTCTGATTGGACGTGTTCCTAGACGAGTCACGTAAAGAATCTCCAACATGGCAGCCTAGTCAGCCCTCAATGGCCACGTCACATGAGGCAAAAGTTAAAACACCCAATTCAGTGGTTCACCTTGGTGATCTTTGGTTTCGTGGGCGTTTATTGAAAAAACGATGGCACACGAAGGTCACATACATAGGAGTTGGTGTTTATTGCATACGGTCATTAAAAAACTGAAATGTTTTGATTTATGTGCATGAGATATTTGGAGAAACGTCAATTTTCTTGAAATGTAATACTGATGTGGTGCACTTTAAGCTCAGATGGTGTTATTTGAAACACCCATAAAACACCCAATCAAATAGATAAAGCAAAAATGTTTAAAGTAACGTTTTTCAGAAAAATGTTTATCTGAAAAATTGTCCCTTAGGAAATGTCCACGGAATCAAACATATACTTGGGTGGACCCAATCTAAGCCTAGACCTACCCAGCCCGCAATTGTACATAGGCTGGGCTTAAATTTTCAGTCCTTAGGCTGGCGGTAGGCCCAAAAGTTTAGGTTTTTAAATTTGTTGAACTGGACTCGGACCTAGTCTTTAGGAAGCCCAATACCTAATTCCAACGCAATTAGCCCAACCTAAATGCAATCAAATTTTAATACGTACGGAGCTCGGGTTGAATAATTTGAGCTTGACCTTGAGGTCGAGCTTTAGGCCCAATTCTTAAGGTTGGGCCTGGATTGAGTTAAAACCTGGCCCAGCCCACCCAATTCAATGACGAGTTGTTATAGGTCAAATTGGCCAAGTGATCAGTCCACCTGGTTAAGATATAGGATGATCCGTCCAGGGAAGCCTCTAGACGAACCACTCTCAATGTTTTGCTTTTCCCCGCCCCGATTGATTGTGACAACTAGCTGTATGGAGCGCATTAGGGAGCATGCATGTGTTTCCAAGGACCCCACTCACTTTTAACCTGATAAAAGATGTTAAATCCGGGGGCAGCTGCATCTCCAATCATCAAAAGGAAGGATTTATGATTCCCTGTATAAAGTGAAAAAGGGAATCGTGGGATTTGTGGCCACTAAACGGACCCATCTTAGCTGTTTAAAGGGTGATGATCATGTATCATGAAACGCCCCCCTTCCATCGAATCTCTCATTAATCAATCTCCTAGGATTTTATAGTTAATGAGTAATATTCTTATGGAATCATACAAATCATCTTACACCAGACATCTCCCACGTTTTCTGTGGGACCTATATATATGTGGGGCCAACGTACGTGAAACGACACAATGTCACAGATATGCGGTCGACTGGTCGTGGTGTAAGATGAGATGACGATTAGGTAAGTTTGTATTGCTCTTAATTAATTTATGTATAATTAGAATAAATAAATACTAAGCATATATTTAAATTTGATAGAAGTGGGGCCCCTGAGTTCCCCACTCGTGCGGTCAAATGCATGGGTTTCTTCTGCTCATGTATTAGAGGACATGTGTTTAAATTTTAAAAACACGGGATGTCGCCCCAAGGTTGGACAAAATAGCTGCTACTTGGATTTGTTTATTTAATCAAAAATTTCAGACGTTACTAACGGGTTGAAAAAAAAAAAAAAGGATTAAAAAAAAAAAAACCATAAATCAGTCAAGTAGGAAGTTTGGACCAAAGACCAGACTAAGTTTTTAGTCTTTTACGAGTCTCCCCCGTCAATCCCTAGCTGTGATTTATTAATCTCTCTCTCTCCAGGCTTCAGCCTAGGCTACGCAGAGATTCATGGACACGAAGGACATGAGTTTCAGGGTTGGAAGTCACCTTTTCATGCTGATTTTTGGTGGCAGATATACTGTTTCTGTTACATAAGATGATGTCCATCTAGAAATCCGCCCCATCTTACTTCAAAGTGTTCATATTGTGGAATTATGGCTAGGGGTATCAATTGGACCGAATTTGGTCCAATATGAGTCTATTACAGATGGACCAGGTCCAATCTAATTTGATGAATATTTTGAATCATTTTGGGTCGGTCCAATTTATTGTTTGGACCGTCCAATGTGTTTAAATTGGTTCCAATGCAAATTTGATCCATTGACACATGTATTTTTATCTTCTATTAATAAATCGGATATTGGTTTAATTCGACCCAATTTAATATAAATCCATTATGGATGGATCCATCTAATAAATACTTTGGACCATTAAACTTAAACTGATCTAATTCAATGTTTTATTGGTCTGTCTAATCCGTTCAAATTGATTTTGATTTGAACAGGATCCAACCTCAAACCGGTCCCTTTACACCCATAGTTATGGCCGCAGACTAGATTGTCTTCTCTCTCTCTCTCAAACATATACTTATACACTCAAGGCTATGTTGGGTTTAAAAGAAAAGGTAAGGAAACATATACAAGGTTTATAAAGGTTTTTCCACCTTTTTCATACTTTCTCTACCTTTTCCTTCAAACCAAACGCAGAAGATTCTACTAATTGGATTACTGTTTAGGGGTCAGTGGATGATACAGTTGTCTTAGAAAAGACTCATTCAGTAGACACGCATTCACACATGGGCAATTGGGTTGCCTAGGCTGGGAGGAACCTAAGGACTGCATAATAGAGGTGTAGGTAGTCGGTGGCTATTACACTGTTGCTTCCGTCTTAAGCATAACAAACCACTATGTGGCAATTAGTTGGGGGCTGTACTGTTTTTGTCCATTCCATTTCATAATATTATACATTTGATTTTCTGTCTAATTTTGCATTTCAATTTTTTGGCTTGAAATATAATTAGATTTTATTAAATAAATGCAACCCCTAAATTTTATATCATTTAAGTTATACAAAATTGTTCTAAATTACAACTAATAAATTTAAATAAGTTTTCATTGATCAAAGTTGGCTAAAGTTCAAATTTTACTTTTGACCACGAGGAGACCAGGCAGAGTACAAAAAAGTAGATAATTTTTTATGGTTCAATTTGGAAGGAATATAAATAGTGCAAAATTTTGTATTTTGTATGTATTTGTAGTTATATTCTTTTCAAACTGAGCCTTTACTTTACTACAAGGAAATAGATAAAATAAGTATACACACAAACTCGGCCAATTGAGCTATTTTTAACTGCCTTTAAACCCAAAGAGGAACGTTGCATCAGATTGGCAGAGGGTTTGTTTGATTTACAGGAATAGGGTTTGGAATCGGAATTGGATTGGACCATTTTAAATCTAACCATTTGATTGGACAGAATCAGAATCTCATTCTCATTCCTGATAGAATACCATTCTCCTATCTAAGAAAACTGCCATTCTCTCCCCCTCCCTTGGGAATGAAAATCCATTTCAACTGATTCAATTTCTGATTCTGATTTCGACTTTCATCTGAACCAAACAAGTGAGGGAATAGATTATTCTAAGGGGTTTTGATTACGATTCCACTTCCAATTCCAACCGTGAGCCAAACAGACTCCAAAACTTTTGTTAAAATCAACGCAATTTATGTAGCTGACACTATAGTTGTGGCCTAGGATGCTGAAGCTTTCCCTCTCCATCCTTGGTACAAAAGGCAGGATAAAGGCTCGGATGCCTCTACCCCATAACCAAACTAAGCTTTTTTTTTTGGGTGGAATTTTTATTTTAAAATGAAATATTTAAAATTTTCGTATATGTGGACCTAATGACCATTTATGGTCGTCTACCCATACCCAAATAAGAAAAGCTAATTATACTATAACGAGTAGGATTAGAGATCTTACTCTCACCATTGCTTTTATGTATGTCCCTGTCAAGGGCGTTTCTGCCTTTTCATATGGGGTTTGATAGACCTCCACACCAATTATCAAGAGAACGACGCATATAAAAGCAAGAGTGAGGTTAGATGCCTAAACCAGTAGAATTGGCATCCCTCCAAGTCCAAAGTCCGAACACAATAGTAGATGGGCCCATACTTTAGAAGAATAGAGCCGGGGAAGAAGATGACAAACTATCAAAAGCCCTATCATATTGACATTTGAAATAGAAATAACAATTTGTATTTAACAATCCAGTAACATTTCAGGTGGAAACTTGAAATAGTAATGGTGACAAACACAATTACAAGGATTTCTTAAACATGTTTGCATTCAAAATGAGATCAAAGTTTACATTTTCTTGACAAAAATTATCAATAATTGTATTTGTATTGACAAATTTTTAAACGGAAAATTCCACTTTAGTACCCTGAACTTTGGAGGTAGTGTAAAGTTAGTACCCGAACTTTCAGATGTGTCACTGCAGTACCTAAACTTTCAAAAAGTGTCAAATTGGTCCCTACCATTAACCAACTGTCAATTATCTATTGATAATGTCAAAAATACCCTTGAAAAGAAGACATTGCTCATTGTCTTCTACCTTGAGACTGAACAGTAA